GTCGCCTAAAGAAAAATGTAATGCTACACGGCAGTGTGTAGCAGATTACTTAACCAACAGGTAGATTATGCTTTGGGGCGAGGGTTTTAATTTTTGACTTTAATAGCAAATTTGATTTTGGCTGCTTATCTCACAATGCCAGTTCTCCGGTCTTCTCCATTTGAAAGCCTTGGAGATATAAACAACAAAGACCCATGTGAGGTCAATACAGGATATCTCATTGCAGAAACTGCCATAATTCCATGTATTGTGCTATTAAGTGACATTTTGATCTTATTTTTAGCTTACCAAGAAATAATAAGCTCAGTGTTTTAAGTGCATTCACATTGTCCAAAGTCCTCTTTTTACACCCTCAGAGTGTCCATGTTTTATAACGCAGTCGGCAGTGTAGTCATTATACTGACCACGCTACAAAGTAAAGCGCAATACAAATGTTCCAATATATCGGTCAATTCTCCCTGAAAAATATTCTCCTTCGAAATTTGTCACAAAAGCTCGATCATTTTGGCCGCATAACATTGCATAATCTTAGAAAAACAAGCTGGAGTTTATCATTGCTTAAATAACAATCTTGACTAGCTAAGTCACAAAATGCAATTCTCCATAGTTGATGTAGCTTCATTTTGAGCTGCAGCATGACAAAACATTGCAGGAAATCATCGCATTCACGGACATTCGAAAATCTTTGAATTATTTGAAGGAAGATCATCGAAGTTGTATACACAACTTATGCAGTTGCAAAAAGAAAGTACTGTACATGGCTTCCTTTTCGAAACTGCATAAGTCGCGTATACAACTGCAATGATCTTCCTTCAAATAATTCTTCACTCCGCGGTTCACATAAATGATTTTCATATATTCATAATTTGAAAATCTTTGAGTTATTCAGATCCAGAAGGCACTTTGGAGTAAATTATAGAACCCTAAACCCTGCTTCTATAGCTGCAATAAAGAGCTTTATGTTTCAACAGGGCAAGCAACATTTTCAAACATTTTGGCTTCAGGTAGAAGTCTTGTGTTGCCTACCGACTCCCTTTTTCAGAAAGCATGATGGATAAAAGGGCCAGGGGAGGAGGTTGAAGGGTCCCCATCTCGCACCCCCACAAAGGCTTTGTTTGAGCAAATTTTCTAGCAAACAATTTGCATTCTTTTTGTACAAATTGTAAATGGGTCAAAGTCCAACAACTTCACGTGCAAATTGTGTGCATGAGTTATTTTTATAATCCTGCTTTCTTACTGGATTACTGTGTAACAAGATGCTCTGGGAGCATACACTTTGGCATCGTGGTTGTGGATTAATTATGAATGCAGAGGAATAGTAAGAAATGATATTTTTCTGGATACCCTTCCATACAAATACCCTTACTTTTCTCCTTTTGTGTAACATCCGAAAGCAACTTTGAAACATTCCTGAGTGTCACGAATCCCCTACTTTGCGCTCCGCCTAAGCAATAATAATTATTTTGTCCTCATAATTATTTCTTTCCCCTGAAAGAATAAATCAATGAACTCGAAGATATCTCAAACTAATTCCGAAGCAACTTGATCAGGACATTCGGAAGCAACTCTAAAACATTCCTGAGCGTCGCGAATCCTTTACAAGTAACAAGCCAAAAGTCACGAACTTGCACGCCTAATCTTGTCCCGAAACTAGTGCATAATTTCATAGCTATTTTTGATATGCCAAACTATATTGGGTCGCAGTGGCGCAATTGGCAAAACCCTCAACTTAAGGGTCTCCTCGTCTGATCTGACGGGCTGCACAGGTGATTCGGTTCAAACCCCAGGCAAGCCAAATAAATATTCTTTCCTCATTGAATAGGTTAAAGAATAAATCAAAGAAGTCGAAGTGATCTCAAGATATTTCAAACTAAGTCGGCTCTCACTTCGTCAAACAGCCGAATAAAACCGAAAACCTACAGACTTCGCGTGCCCAATCTTGTCCCCAAAAAGCAACTTTGGGACTTTCCGGAGCGTCGTGAATCCTTTACTTCACGCTCCACCAAAGTAATAACTCTAATTCCCTCGCAAAAAATACAAACCATGAAAGGAGCAAAGTCCAACACTTTCACATGCAAACAATGTGACTGTATATCTCATGCAGACTGGTTTTTTACAGTAATTATAGTTATTTGAACATATGAAGACCTATTTAGTTTTGTAACTAGTGTCTTGAGTAGAGGCTCTTTCCTTTTAAGAAGTGATAACATATAACACTTTTAGATTCAAGTTGTCAGAGTTAAAGACTGTTTCATTACAACCTCGTGAATTTGAATAATGCAACCATCTTCAACAATGATGAAAATCGTGCAATTTCTTGGCTATTCGGTATTTGATGAGCTTCATTATCTTAAGAAACCATGAAGAAACCTTCAAACCTTTGTGTCTTAATTCCCTCTAAGCAACGTTTGGTGAGTTGATATCCATAGCACTTTTAATAACGATTTGGTTATTTTGCACCAGATTTCCGTAGGGAAGACACAGAAAAGTGAATGTATAGTATGAGGATCGTCTTAGCTGTGCACAGTGGTTTGCATTTTCATTAACGTACAGCAATAACCCATTTCGCAAAAAATGTAGTCTTAATTTAGAATTAAAACAGAAGATTGTTGACACGGTTACACTGAAGCATTCAAAATAGCTCATGCACGTAAAATGTGCCTATGTTTCAACATGGCATGTGGTTTTGAAAGTGTTTGTGAGATTATTTCGGATTAAGCAAGAAAAAGCCTCAAAACAAGGTTTAGTGGGAGCAATACAGCTATTTCAAAAAACGTTGTCAGAAGAAAAGCAAAAAGTCTTCAAGCCAAGACCGCAAGGTAATGTGGGTTGTTTCAAATCCATCTTTTACTGGCAAATGTAACAATCACTCCACTAAACTGGTCACTGATTTTTATTCGTCATTTATACTGAACCATACTTATCATTTTAGTTTTTGAAAGAGCACAAGGTAACATTATGTTTCAGTCGAAGGGCACTCTTGCTTATTCCCATCTTTCAAAGCAATTTTACAAAGCTAATTGGCAAAGAAAAATAACATTAAATTTACATTTTATCAATTTGCATTGGGTGGTATGCCTTTACTCCACTTCCTTCAACTATTGAAAATGATGGAGATGATGGCAATTTTTCTGGAAATGAATTCTAAAGGACGAGTTTTAAGTTAAAAAAAGAAAAGAAAATTGTGGCCTGATGTTCACTTCCCCTAAAAAACATGAGACATTTCAAGCCACAGTCGTACAACAACGGCCACGGCTGGACGCTGAATGCAAAATGCCAAATGACTATGAAATTTTGTGATTAGGGTTAGAGAACTGACTGAATCAAGTTTCTGGTCAGTTTCCACGGTATAATGACCCCGAAGGGAGCCTGATTAGCTCATTTACTAAACATCAGAGTCATTCCACGTTCTGCATTTGGCATTTGGCGAATACAGAACACCAAGGTTAGGGTTTAATAGGAAACTGAGCGAATTAAGTTTCAGGTTTGGTTTCCCAGTTTAATGATCCTAATTGGAACCTGATTCACTCAGTTTATGGTGACCTTCTTACACACGCTGGAATGACTAGTCTATATAACATGAGATTACAAGATATCGCTATCTTTATGTTCAAAATAAGAAATAGATTACTGCCTTACAACATACTAGAACTCTTCTCGTCATCGTCTTCGAATTACAACCTGAGGAACTCAGACTTTCATGTTCAAAGGGTAAAAACTGTTAAATATGGAAAGCATTCCCTCAGATTTTTTGGGCCATTTTTATGGTCAAAATTGAGTATGAAGGACAGAAACGAGACCTCCTTAAGCAGGTTTAAAGCAAATATAAGGAGAAAAGATCTGAGCAAATTGGTTAGTGATAACGCATGCAAAGGGTGCCACCTGTGTGACTCATATTATTCAGAAACAGGAAATATCATAACTGGTAGAGTTGATATATTATGAAATTGTATATATAGTTTTTTCTTATTTATTATATAGGTTTATCAGTTTTCGAAGCATATTGAATATCGTGTATCTTTTAAGTAGTTTTAGAATAGTTAAATCTTATTGGCTTATAGTATTATGTATATATATTTCTTATTAATAAGTTATTTAAGTAGTGTCCCCGATTAGTAGGCCTGACGGCAAGCTAGAAGACTAGACACTTAAATAAAGTTGTTGATTGATTGATTGATTGAGTTTCCTAACCCTAATAAACTCAGAGTGATTCGCGCGTTGGTATTAGAAGCTGCCGATGATTCTTTGCGCTCTTGAAACTTCGCCGCTTATTTTTGCCCTCTCGCCAATGAGGGTATGACGAACTTGTGTGCGAAATTCTCAAAGTTCCTGTTTTCGTCAGACGAGTCGAGTCTTCTTTATCCTAATCCGTGTGTTGCATTACACAGAAAGACTGACTCTGCGAAGATCAAAGATGGACAGAAGATGGACAAGCATGATTCTATATGTTCTAAAACTCGAAAACGAACTAAACACGCGCTTAGATTGACTTGTTATGCGAAATTTATTTTCGCGCAGCGACATTAGCTCTAACTTTTCAATTAGCTTTTCCATTAGCTCTAACTTTTCCGTTTTGGTTCCATCTGCCGAACTTCCGCCTAAAGGCAAAAACTGCAAATTACATATTACGCCCATATTTCAGGCTCACAGGCACCGCGTGTAGGTGTGCAAAGAACTTACACTGTAGTCAATATCAAACAACTCTTACCTTTACAGCAACTCGGCTACTGATCTGAAGAAGAAAGGTTTTGAATGTCCTCTTGTTTCTGTTCAAAATGAACACTCTCAGGATAATAGCTCGGGTAGTACTTGGTGTAAGACTGCCCAAAATGTCCCGGGCCACCGCCCATTACTGTTAGTGCTGTAGTAGCTGTGCTCTAGTAGACGCAGTAGTACCTGTAATAGCTGTAGTAGCTGTAGTACCTGTAGTACCTGTAGCAGCTGTAGTACCTGTAGTAGGTGTAGTACCTGTAGTAGCTGTAGTAGCTGTAGTAGGTGTAGTAGCTGTAGTAGTACCTGTAGTACCTGTAGTAGCTGTAGTAGGTGTAGTACCTGTAGTACCTGTAGTACCTGTAGTACCTGTAGCAGCTGTAGTACCTGTAGTAGGTGTAGTACCTGTAGTAGCTGTAGTACCTGTAGCAGCTGTAGTACCTGTAGTAGGTGTAGTACCTGTAGTAGCTGTAGTACCTGTAGTACCTGTAGTACCTGTAGTAGGTGTAGTACCTGTAGTAGGTGTAGTCCCTGTAGTAGCTATAGTACCTGCAGTACCTGTAGTAGCTGTAGTACCTGTAGTACCTGTAGTAGGTGTAGTACCTGTAGTACCTGTAGTAGGTGTAGTACCTGTAGTACCTGTAGTAGGTGTAGTCCCTGTAGTAGCTATAGTACCTGCAGTACCTGTAGTAGCTGTAGTACCTGTAGTAACTGTAGTAGCTGTAGTCCCTGTAGTAGCTATAGTACCTGCAGTACCTGTAGTAGCTGTAGTACCTGTAGTACCTGTAGTAGGTGTAGTACGCTGTAGTACCTGTAGTACCTGTAGTAGCTGTAGTACCTGTAGTTGGTGTAGTAGGTGTAGTACCTGTAGTACCTGTAGTAACTGTAGTAGCTGTAGTCCCTGTAGTAGCTATAGTACCTGTAGTACCTGTAGTAGCTGTAGTACCTGTAGTGGCTGTAGCACCTGTAGTACCTGTTGTAGCTGTAGTAGGTGTAGTAGGTGTAGTAGGTGTAGTAGTACCTGTAGTAACTGTAGTAGCTGTAGTAGGTGTAGTACCTGTAGTACCTGTAGTACCTGTACTAGGTGTAGTACCTGTAGTAACTGTAGTAGCTGTAGTAGGTGTAGTACCTGTAGTACATGTAGTACCTGTATTACCTGTAGTAGGTGTAGTAGGTGTAGTAGTACCTGTAGTACCTGTAGTACCTGTAGTAGGTGTAGTACCTGTAGTAACTGTAGTAGCTGTAGTAGGTGTAGTACCTGTAGTACCTGTAGTAGGTGTAGTACCTGTAGTAACTGTAGTAGCTGTAGTAGGTGTAGTACCTGTAGTACCTATAGTAGGTGTAGTACCTGTAGTAACTGTAGTACCTGTAGTAGGTGTAGTACCTGTAGTAGCTGTAGTAGGTGTAGTACCTGTAGTACCTGTAGTACCTGTAGTAGCAGTAGTAGGTGTAGTACCTGTAGTAACTGTAGTAGCTGTAGTAGGTGTAGTACCTGTAGTACCTGTAGTA